ATATAGAAATTTGCTCTATAAAGACGGAGACCTTGAGCTCCAGACTTATAAGGGCCTTTGCCTAAGGTGTTTTCCAAACCTAGGTGATCCAGAGCCTTTTTATTCATCCTTATTTCCCTGAGGTTTTGGGGATCTTCCCTAGAGATCATGGTTGTAGTTTGTATTCCATATCAAGGCAGTAATCCTAGCTCAGTGCACTAGATCTAGACTTCTAAATAAATCCTTGTGGGTTTTAGAATGCTCTTTCCCCTTTACCCCCACCCTCCCCTCCCCTCCCTCCAAAGCCCGACAGTCCTTTGACTTTTTATTTGTTTTTTATTTATGTATTATGTATTGGATTCGGGTATACAACTTAGTGGTTAGACAATCATATACTTTATATAGTATTCCCTTGAGATTTCCACTACCCTATCTGGTACCATACATAGTTATCACCATATTATTAACTATATTTCCTATTTCTTTGACTATCACCATGGAAATGCCATAGTTAAATCATTGCAATTGTGATTGATTTGATAACTCCCACAGTACTCTAAGCTGCTGTGTGGCCTGCCTTCTCACCATGCCCACTCTATTCCTAGGAGACAGAGGTGAGGATCTCAGAAACTGACTCTGTTTAATCAGTTCACACCATACTGCCTATTCTCTCTTCCCATTCGGATGGAGTTAGAGGCTATTCAAAGCAGCTTGATAGTAAGCGCCACAGATCCCTTCTGCTACCTATGCCTTGTTTCAGGCCTTCCAATGCCACCTAAGTCTTTTCTTCTCCAAGATAAACAGTCCTGGATCCTACACCATTCTTCATGGTGTTGATTTTCAGGTCCCTCTCTACCCTGCTTACTACCCTCTTTTCTCCAAGTTCCTCTGAAAAGAGGGTTCAGAATTGAATGCTGCTCTCCTACAGTGGTGGAACTACCTTTCCATTACTTCTCTCATTCTATCCTCTCAGTCTGTTTCTCCTTTATTTCCATATTTTAAACAGAGATTTTATTTTCTCTTGAACCTCAGTAACTATAACTTGTTTATTTAAATATAGAATTTGTCCCCTAACTTATAATTGCATTCATTTTTTTTTGGCAGTCACATTCCACAGATAGCTTATCTTAAACATATATACCCTCAAAAATGGGTGAATGAGAAGACACACATATTCATTGATCCACTAAGTCAAGCTTCTTTTCATCATTGCTGTGGAAAATTTGGGAAGGAGATGAAAAATAAAAGCTAGACTCCAGAGTACTAGTCATATCTCCTAGCCTTTCTCCCTTGAGAAGCCTAAGCAGCTATGTGTTGTAAGGGCTAAGGTTAACAGTTCTGGGGTTCTCTAACTACTCCCATATTCTTATGTTCCATCTCTTATTTCTTTGATAAAGGAAGTTTCTATTAGTTGTACTCTCGTTGGCAAGTCATGTGTCTTAAACCCTAGGGCTAAGATTTTGAGAGGACATTGGATTTATCCCTTTTCTTTGATAATATTTTACTCAGAACAGCATTTCTGACATTGTATTTTCTTTATATCCTCTGGCAAAGATTTTCTCCTTTTTTATCATAGAAATAATTTTTTAAATGGAATTAGAGGAAGTTTGAAAGTGGGAACAAAAATCAACTAGAATCCACAAAACTATAAGAAAACTATTTGCACTTTTGTATAATTCCTTCAAATATGTACATGTATTTACAGTAATAATCATAGTGACATACCATTTTGTGTCCTGCTTTTTAACGTTATATCATAAGCACTTCTCCATGTTTCTACATAATCTTCCTAATCATTTTTAATGGCTACATAATATTCCATCAAGTTAAATAAACAAGAATCTTATATAATAAAAGGTTAATATGCATATCATCCCCTCGGGAGTTTGGGAGACTATGAGTTTGATCACTCGCTATGATGTGCACTGACCACCAGGGGGCGATGTGGAACATGGCGGGTGACCAGTAGCTGCAGCAGGGTGCTGAGGGAGCAAGGGAAGGAGGAGGTGGAGAGACCAGGAGGCGGTGAGCCTGATTAGCCCTGATCGCATGCCAGGCCTAGGGACCCTACCCGTGAATGAATTTCATGCACCGGGTCTCTAGTGTATTTATAATTAGCATTAGCTTTAAAGAAAAACAGTTTACTATGCACTCTAGGGTCCCACCATACTATGGACAGTTACAGTTCTTCTAATGCATACTTAATCTTTACATGCTACAACACCTATGATGTAATAGAAAGAAAATGTCACCTTGACAATAACAATGACTAGCATATTTGAGGAATTAGAAAGCTTTACTGACATCTCTATTTGTTCTTTCTTTTCCAGAGTCCACTTTTTCTTCTTTTTCATTTCTGTTATATTCCATACTGATGCTGAGATCTAGTATCCTTGTTGCACTTGGGGATTTGATAATTGTTCTTTCCCTGAGACCATTTATTTATTTATTTATTTATTTATTTAATATTTTTATTTATTTCAGAGAGGAAAAAAGAGAGAGAGATAGAAACATTCATGATGAGAGAGAATCATGGATCGGCTGCCTCCTGCAAGTCCCCCACTGGGGATTGAGCCCACAGTGTGGGCGTGTGCCCTTGACCCGAATTGAACCTGGGACCTTTCAGTTCGTAGGTCAACGTTTTATCCACTGAGCCAAACCAATTAGGGCTCCCTGAGACCTTTTAAATGGGAGCAGTGAAATGAACTATTAAGTACTTCCTGAACTGTCTTCTAAGGATGAATGAGCTGTCCCTAATGGCTTCTTATATTGCTCCAATATGGTCACTCACTGATATCTGTACTTACCTGCCATGACATGCTGATGTGAAATTGTTACCAGTATTTTTCAGCTGTGTTCACATGCCTACCTTAGGGAGAATGGGAGCAGGGGTGAGGCAGACTCTGCCCAGTTGCCTGATGTCAAGATAGAAAAGTTCCTACCAGATGATACGCACACTACTTTCCCTGCTTCACTGTAGCTAAGATACTTCCAAATATGATTGGGTGAGAAAGGGAAAGGGAGAGGGAGGAAGAGAAGGAAGAAAGAGGCAAGCAAACACTGGGAGTTATTTACCGATCTTCCAGTTAGTCAAGGAAAAGTCTCTATGGAGGCAGAATTTTGGGAGCTGTTTCAGCAAAATAGTGAAGCTAAAAGAGTATTTCTGGAATAGGTGGCATGTTCTTTCTGATCAGGAATTGGATACAAATGAATACAGAACATCTTGGGCATTTCAATTAATAAGGGCAGCTGCCATTAGTAAAATAAATGTCAACACAGGCACAAAGTATTAATTTGTATAACTGTTGAAAAACACGTAATAATTAATGGCTGATTTGGATTGTTAGAAGAGATAAGGGAAGTGAGATTTTGGTAAAGGTTAGTAAAGGCCATTGAAGCCAAGGAAGAGCTAGGTGGCTTAATTGGAAGCTGTGTTAGGGGAGACAAAGTGGAGGTAGAGACAGGCCTGAAAGTGGTCAGTCACTACAATGCTCTTCATTAGGGGCTCAACATTTACAAAAGGTGTTATAAAAATCACATTTAGCTTTTATTTTTTTAAATAGATTTTTCTTGATTTCAGAGAGGAAGGGAGAGGGAGAGAAAGATAGAAACATCAATGGTAAGAGAGAATCATTTATCTGCTGCCTCCTGCATTCCCCACACTGGGGATCAAGCCCACAACCTGTGCATGTGCCCTGACTGGGAATGGAACCATGACCTCCTGGTTCATAGGCCGATGTTTAACCACTGAGCCATGCCAGCTGGGCTCACATTTTAGCTTTTATATGAAAGCAAGTGACCATAGTTCATTCTCATCAAGAACATTTTCATGTGCTGATGATTTCTAATGTGGACCGTGGCCATTAGTTTAAAAATATTTAAGTTCAAAATGGAAAACTGGCTTTTTTATTTTTCCTCCCTATGACTTACAGTGTGCCTATCTGGTGTTATCTCAGTACTTTCTTATTAGACCAAAAATCTCTTTCATTGTTTTTCCCTTTCATCAATGGCTAGCTGTATTGAATAATCTGTTTATTCACAAATGTGTCCTGAACACTTACTCTGTTAAAAACACCATGCCTGGACACTGGTGGGCTTGTTGTCTGAGCTCATCTAAACTGTTTTTCTGGACCAGCTACCTTAGATGGCTAAGATGTTGCTTTAAGTAATGGTTTGGTTTTGTCAATTCCTGTTCCCTTTTGGGAAGTTTCCTGCTGGAAACTTCCTGTTGCCAAATTGTTGTAGATGTTATAAAGATCTTTTTAATTGGTCCTATAAGATAGAACTTTATAGATATGAATAGATCAAGCTAAACCAATAACTACTAAAATTAGTGAAAATGTTTATGCTTAACCAGCTTCTAAAAAACCGTCCTAAGACTTTGGGGGTCTTTGTCATAGAGAATTGCAGGCAAAGCTCTATACTCGAGTCTTTGCACTCTGAAGACTTTGCTTGAGATCCAACTTTTCTAATTCCTCACTGGTGGAGTGACTTCCTTCTCTAAACCTTAATTTCCTCATATGAAAAATATAAGTGACTAGAGGCCTGGTGCACAAAATTCATGCACTCTGGGGCGAGGGTTCCCTCAGCCCAGCCTGCACCCTCTCCCAGTCCAGGACCCCTTAGGGGATCGGGCTTAAGCAGGCAGTCAGACATCCCTCTCACAGTATGTGGCTCTCGCAGTCTGAGACCCCTCACTCCTTATGGCCCGCCTGCAGTGGAGACAGGAGAGGCTCCTGCCACTGCCACTATGCTTGTCAGCTGTGAGCTCACCTTCTGGCTAAGTGGTCTGCCCAAGGTAGGAGCTGTTCAGTATGCATCATTAGCAACCAGTCATTCCGCCATTCAGTCAATTTGCATATTTGAGTTTTATTATATAGGATTGTTCCCTGTCTACCTCATGGAACTGAATTGAGGCTCCAACTACTTAGGAAGTAGTAAAGCTTTCAAGGAACCAAGGATATCCTCAGACTGGGCTCTTTTTTTTTTTTTTCTTTTGTTTTTTTTTTTTTTTTTTTGTCTGCAGGGCTACCTGAAGCAGTGCCGAAAGAGAAGGGACATGTTCAGTGATGAGCAATTGAAGGTCATCTTTGGGAACATTGAAGACATCTACAGGTTTCAGATGGGCTTTGTGAGAGACCTGGAGAAACAGTACAACAATGATGATCCCCACCTTAGTGAGATAGGACCCTGCTTCCTGGAGCACGTAAGTATCTTTCTCTTTGGGGAGAGTTTTGAGAGATGTTAAAAAGAAAGACTCGTGAACAGAGACAACAGTATGGTTATTACCAGAAGGAAGGGGGTGGAGGGAGTATAGGAGGTTAAGGGAGGATAAATGGGGACGAAAGGACACTTGACTTGGGGTGGTAAACACACAATACAATATACAGATAATGTATTGTAGAATTGTATACCTGAAACCTATACCTTTTCTGGTATAATTTTATTAACCAATGCCACCCCAACAAACTCAGTAAAAAAAAAAGAAAAAGTAAAAAAAAAAAAAAAAAAAAAAGAAGCATTGGAAGGAGTATCTGAGCTCCGTGGTCCTGCTCAGCTGGTTTGTCCTGTGGTAGCAGATGGATTCTTCTCTGACTTTGAAGTTGATAACTTTGCCAGTGCATGAGGACTTAGGAAGATACTGTAATTTGGACTAGGACTCTCTTACTTTACATTTCCCCTCTCTTTTCTCTCTCCTTCCATAGGGTTACCAGTAAGATTTTTCTTCAGCTTATTTTTTTTTCTGTTGGGTTCAGTTTCTGTGGGACCTGGTGTTTTTGGAAGGGCTTTGAAATTATTCACTACATGGATAATCCAGGGATCTGAGTAATAGGAGAGCCCATGATCAGCATGAAAATAGGTCTCTTGAGGCATTTAGGGGAGAGTACTAGGGCAGGAGAAATTATATGTGTAGGAAAGGAGACCACATGGCTTAGAGAAAGGAGCACTAGGGTACAGGAAAATGAGGATTTGAGTCCTGTACCAGTATCTGTAATGACTGTCTGGGAAACTTTGGATAAGTCCATTACCTTCTTTGGGTTTCCTCATCTGGAATATAAGAAGGTTCACTCTGGCCCTAGCCGGTATGGCTAAGTGGATAGAGTGTCGGCCTGAGGACTGGGAGGTCTCAGGTTTTATTCAGGCCAAGGGCACATGCCTGGGTTAAAGACTTGATCCCCAGTGTGGGGCATGCAGGAGGCAGCTGATCAGTGATTCTCATCATTGATGTTTCTATCTCTCTCTCCATCTACCTTCCTCTATGAAGTCAATTATGTATTGTGGTTCTCTTGGGTCTCATTCATAGCTGACCAAGTTGTTTTAACAACTCTCTTCTCACATTTTATAAAGTATTTATTTTTTAAAGAGATAACATGTTCACATGATACAAATTTCAAGTGGCACATAAAAAAGTGTGTAGCTAAAAGTAAGTCTTCTTAAAAATACTGCTTTGCTTATGGATATGTAATTTAGTGGTTTGCTAGAGGGACTTGCAAGACTCAACATATAGCAGTACTCATGGTTATGATTTATTATTGCTAAAGGATACAAAACAATATCAGCAAAAGGAAAAGGCACCAGGAGTAATGTCTGGATGAAACCATACTCAAGTTTCCAAGAGTCTTCTCTGAGTGGAGTTCACATAAGATGCCCTTAATTCCCCTTGCAATAAGTTGTGACAATACATATGAAACATTCTTTACCAGGGAAACTTATTAAGGAATCAGTACGTAAGCATTTTATTTTGGTTCTGGTCACATAGGCACCCTTTGCCTAGCATGTACCCAAATTCTAGACTCCCAGAAGGAAATAGGACATTCAGTATAAACCACATTGTTTATATAAACAGTTTAGGCACAGTGAGCCACTATTGTTAGGGAATGGTGAGAAGCCTCTTGAGATTCAAGTTCCAAGATGCCAGTGAAGGCCAACATTTCAAACAGGTCTTTCTAAGGAAAGCAGCCTCAGGCCTGATATGTTAACTCTTTTAACTCTTTTCTGCACAGTATTTAAACTGTTTCAGCCATTCCAGAAAGCACATGGGAAGTATTTATCAAAGTTAAGCATATGTATGACCTAGTGCTTCCATTTCTGAATAGGTATCCCAGAAAAGTTCTCACAGAGATCCATGAGGGAGCATTTACAAGGCTGTTCATTGCATGGCAGTGTTATGTGTGGTGGAGTGTAATTAGAAGCAATTTAGGTATTTATCACCAAGGGATGGATAACAAACAGCAGATGCTTACTGTGGGATATTATGTAGCAAGACTCAACAGAGTATATGTATGAACTTTATAGCAATGCTTATAGATATTATAAACATAATGTTGAGAGGTTAAGTAGAATATCGAATGTTGATATTCAACTGAAGCCTGCCTTATGCATTGTAGGATGTTTAACAGCATTTCTGGACCCTACCCAGTGGATAGTAGCAACTCCCACTACCCCAGTTGTGACAGCCAAAAATGACTCCAGACATTGTCAAATATCTGGAGGTCAAAAAGAACCACCAATCCATTGAAATGGTCATATATTCTTACCCTTTAGTCTGTTAATATGTGAATTTGTATTGAGTAATTTTCATATTAAATGGTACAGTGGGGCCTTGACTTACGAGTTTAATTTGTTCTGTGATGGAGCTCGTAACTCAAATTACTCGTATGTCAAATCATAAAGTGAACGAGTGAGACACCTGATGCTGGGCTGATGTGGCATTCACTGTGACGTTCGCTGCACCAATTAGCGGTGGGGTATCTGAAGCTGGCTCATAACCCGAATTTTAGCTCGCAACTCAAAGCAAAAAATCGGCCGAGAGACAGCTTGTATCTCGAAAAACTCATTAGTTGGGACACTCGTAAGTCAAGACCCCACTGTAGTTGCATTGCTGGGATAAACCCTACTTAATCATGATGTATTACATTTTTTAAAAATTTAATTTTCTGCATCACCTTTTATTCCATCCATACTCTCTACCACCTCCACCCATCCCCTTCCACCCCTGCAATCATCACACTGTTGTCCAAGTCCATGAGTTCTCCCCGCCACCCATTTTGCTTAATTGCTCCACCTCCGCAACTCACCCTCCACCCCCAGCTGTCTTCCTGCTCTCTATCTATGAGTCTGTCTCTATTTTGCTTGGCAGTCAGTTTGTTCATTAAATTCCACATATGAATGAAATCATATGGTACTTGACTTTCTCTGACTGGCTTATTTCAGTTAGCATGATATTCTACAGGTCCATCCATTCTATTGCAAAGTGTAAAATTGGATTCCCTTTTACAGCACAGTAGTATTCCATTGTGTACCACAGCTTTTTTATCCATGTATCTACTAATGAACACTTGAGCTATTTCCAGATCTTGGCTATTGTAAATAGTGCTGCAATCTTTTCTTTTTTTTTTTTTTTTGAGTAGTTTGTCTTGAAAAAATTTGGATTGTTTAACCTTTATTATTCAGTTCTAAGATTTTATTTTTATCAGCTTTTTTTTTTAGTATAATTACACACAATAAGTTTCACCATTTTTTTAGCGGATGTATATAGTTGTGTACCTATCCTCATAATTAAGGTATAGAACATTTATATCACTTCATCAAGTTCTCTAGTTTTCTCTTTGTAGTCAATCTTTGTTCCCATCCCTGGCCATTGGCAAGAACTAGTCTGCTTTCTGTACCCTAATTTAACTTTTTCTACAATGTCATATAAATGAATCATCTAGTAGTAATTGTATTTAGCTTTTTTCACTGAACATAATACCTTTGATATTCACCCATGCTGTTGAATGTATCAGTAGTTGGTTCTTTTTGTTGCTTAACAATATTCCATTGCCTAGATCAGTGATTAGCAAACCGCAGTTCATGAGCCACATGCGGCTCTTTGGCCCCGTGGCATGGGCCACGAAGTTTCAATTGCACTGTACGTGCGGGCCCGCACGTGGTATTTTGTGGAAGAGCCACACTCAAGGGGCCAGTTTGCCAACCCCTGGTCGAGATATACTACCCATTCATCAGTTTATTCCAGGACATCTGAGTTATTTACTGGATTGTTCATATCTGTAGGATTCCTAGGTTGCATGGTGTTTGTTTAACTTTATAAGAAATTGACAAACTATTTTCCAAAGTTGCTATGCCATTTTGCATTCTGAATTCAAATATAAAGGGTGTCCCCAAAAATGTATACTCGGTTTAAGAGCTCAAATTTAAAAATGAAATGTATAATTAATAAACACTGCCTTTATAATTATTCAAACTGTACATGTACATTTTGGGGGATACCCTATATTAGAGTTCCAATTGTTCCAAATGATTGCCAGGCTGTGGTATTCCTAGTATTTTTTTTATTGCAGCCATTCTGTTAAATGTTTAGTGGTATTTCATTATGGTTTTTATTTACATTTCCCTAATGGGAAATGATGTTGAGCATTTTTTATGCACTTATTTTCTATGTGTATAAAATCTTTGGTGAAGTGTTTGTTCATGTCTTTTGTCTATATTTAAGAAGATTTTTGAGGTGTTTTTTTTTACTGTTTAGTTTCAGGAGTTTTTTTTATTTATTCTGTTTATAAGTCCTTATCAGATATGTGATTTGCACATATTTCTTCCAGTCTGTATCTTAGTCTTTTATTTACTTAAAGGTGTCTTTGTAAAGCATAAAATTTTAATTTTGTTGAAATCCAATTTATAATTATTTTCCTTTTATGGTTCATGATTTTAGGTCTTATTTACAAAATCTTTGCCTAATCCAAGGTCATAAAGTTTTATCCTAATTTCTTATAAAACTTGTGTAGCTTTATTTCTTACTAGAGGCCTGGTTCATGAATTCATGCACAGGTGGGGTACCTCAGGGTAGGCTGTGGGGATCAGGCCAAAACCCACAGTCCAACGCTGCATGCTGCTCATGCATGCTGCTCCCACTCATCCTGGCCCCACTGTACCTGCCATCAGTCTAAAAGAGGTTGGGGGGCCGGGATGCGATCGGCCCTCTGGGCGGGTGGTGGGATGCCCTTGCAGGTGGGGGATCCAGATCCATCCCCCTGATGTTCACGAAGGTTGTTGGGAGCCATTTTTATATTGTTTCTTCCTTGCAGAGCCTCTAGGGAGGGGAAGTGGCCAAGGTGCCTGAGGCCGACTTCCAAGAGGTCGGTGGCGCTGTCAGGATTGTGCTGGTGGTGCCAATCCATCAGTGCCTGGCCCATTCTCTAGAGATTGGAC